TTTCGTGCGACTAGGACTCGAAGTTCTTTATGTGTAGTAAAAATTTGAAAACCTATGTTTTTAAAATGAGTGAGATCTGGCTCAAAGAAGTCCAAAAAAGGGAATTCCGTCACATTTGGCCAGGCCGTACTATAGATGACGCTACTATACGGTGTATCGGAAAAGAAAATCGAAATTTTTGGCAAAATTTATGATCAGTTACTTTTCGGCTGTTTTGTCTATTTGTGTTTTGTACATGAAGCGAAAGGAACTGTTGATACAACTGAACTTGTACGAAACTCAGAGCGGTATTTTGGATCAATTTAGATTAACTCTTTTAAAGAGTTTAATGCTTATAGCACTATTTATTAAGATTTTTCGGCGGTCAGTGGCCCAAGTCGACGAAGGCAAAATGTATACTTGTTTAAAACACAGAACCGTATTCATAACCGATCGATCCCGCACGTGAAAAAATGTAGCTTTCTTTGACATCTATCAATCTTCTTTGATTAAAGTCTATTAGGACGAAGAAGACAATTAGGTCACAAGAATATCACCAGACTGTATTGACATGCAAAACATAAATTACAATAGCCTATTTAATTTAACAATCTTTTCTATCATTCACTTCTTGTAGTATTCTAAATAAAAAATAAAACTAGATAAAAGAAAGCATGAGTGACGCCTTATGACCGTTTTATAAAAAGCTTTAAAAAGAGTTAGTTTGTGAAGGAACATACCAAAGACAATGAATTCATAACTCGAATAATTATCGGCTGACTACTAGTCAATGTTTGATTTTGTAGATTAACGAAACGAAAAGGCACAATTGATGTTGCAATCATAGGATTTGCAATCTAAAAGGATGACAAAAAGTGTTTTAAAATATAATGTTAATGAATTTTGTGAATGAGAGCATTGATGATAGACAATATCCTAATTCATCTTCTGCACATTTTATTATTACAAACCTGATGTAAATTGTTCGTGAGCCGAATATTTAAACCATTTAATGCACCAACTACACGTAAACTTAAAGGATTCGCTTTTAAATTCGATTGTGTTAAACCGGAAATAATCGGCAGTGAGCTTTGTGAAGTCGTTTGACGTGCCGCTGCAGACTACAGATAAGAAAAAAGGATAGATATTATTTTTAAAGACAATGTGAGAATTGTTTGAAATTGAAATTGTGAGCAAACACGTTTGACCCGATGTACTATTGCAGTAGATATGTTTGCTCATATAAGTGAGCAGTGAATTTCATTTGCGTAGCTGGGCAAGTAAAAAGTATTTTCATATTAGGTTTTTACTCGAAATTCGTGGTGCATTTTGTTTTCTTTTTTCTAAAAGGAGATGATTCATTGTTTTGGTGTGCACATTTAACGGCTTAGTCAAAAAGAGGCATGGACTTTGGTCTCTTGCGTCTTTGAAAAATAAACTTGTCGCGTGAATGTGCATAAAGAAGTAGATAACATGAATCCGTCTATGTGAATAGTTAAAAGAAAGAAAGAGTACGTATATGTTGCGGACAAAATTAGAATTCGGTCAAATTCCGAATTTGTCTGGACATAATTGGAATTCTAATTTCGCCCGGACAAAGTTAGAATTCTAGTTTTGACCTGAGTTTCTATGGACAAAATTGG